CCCCCTTGCAGTCTGTATAATTTTAAAGCTTTTCAAACCCTTAATCGCAGAAAGGAATGAATGTGGGCAATGGTCTTTCCATAAGGCTGCTATCATCATCGATTCTGGAATTTTTCGAATTGTAGCTTGGAACTTCTCACGTTGTTTTCTTTCTTTGAGTGTCCACCTTGCTGGAAACCATCGAACCGGTATCCCCCCTAAATCTGTAGTCCAAACAGGATCATCATTACCTTCGAACTGGGTAAGACGCAAAGAATTTAATTCTATCTTCAAATGAACTGTTTGGTATTTCTTTTGTTGTTTCATTTGTAATGAGATAGTATTCCCCCAAAATGTTAACTTTTGCAGAATTTCTTCTGGCGTCCAGGATACTGGGATATCATAAACCAAAATGTCTCTGACTTGTGATGTACCATCATCACCTGGTTTATGACCTGTAATAACTTGCTGAATTATATTTTTATTTGACTTCTTTTTTTTATTCGAAGATTTTGTTAAATTAGATAAATTATTATCTGGTTGTTGTAATAGCTGCGGCTGAGGCATTGTAACATCCAGATTAGATACTGGTTCTACTGGTGTGACGTCCATATCAAAAGGTTGATCAACATGTGATTGAGATCCAGATGCATCCTCAATCGACCGATTTATATTAACATCTTGATCATCACCTATTTGATCATCATCATCAACAGTATTTCGCATATAATCATCTGATTCATCATTTGTTAATGGATCAGAATCAGAATCAACAGTTTGGTGTTTTTTCTTTTTATTCTTTTTAGCCTTTCTTTTTTTAGACTTATCCTCATGTTTTCTCACAACATTCATTATTTGCTTTCTTTTAGCATATCTCTGTTGTATTCCATCATATACTGCGTTAAAACCATGAGAAGCAGAGTACATAGCAACATGTAAAAAAAATGAGAAACTTTGAGGAGTCATTTGGTAACGAGAGGCTCTATTCTCCCAACTGAGTATGTCTTCATTTGTTAATCTAAAATTTGCTTTTAAAATATTATTTTGAACTTCTGTTGAACGTTCCTTAAAAAACGAAGCACTAAGACTTTCACAATATTGTATATATTGGAAATATGTAGTTTTTAAAAACCTATTTTCATCACCCATAATAAGCATAGGAAACTTATTTTCGGCTATTTGTATTTTTCTTGTATCTTCCATTTTAATAAAAAACTGAGTAAAATAAAATTAAAATTTTACTGCAGAATTGTTATGTTTTTTAATTTTTGAAGGAAGAGTTCCCTGATGTTGTTTAAAAAAATTTTAGATGGTCATCACTTATGACACTATCAAAATTGAATCACATGCTAGCCTTAAGCCGCATATACTAACTATAAATAGATTAGTGCTAATTAAATTACACATTTTTTTATTATCTAAAATCTAAATTAATAATGTTTGTATTTTTTTAATAAAATTACATTATATTATAATAAATCGTGGTTTTTTCGATGAAATTAAATTTTTTTAATAAACTATAATAAAATCGTAAATTTTTCAATGAAATTACACTTAGTATGTTCCCTAATTGTATAGCCAGATGTAAATCTAATTTGGTTTCCCTGATTTTCTCCATTTTTCAATGAGTATTGCTAAATATCACCGCTGGTGATTGTCACCCTGCCAGGATTAGGATAGAATTTTGGGCAGAATTAAAAATGACATGAAACTCCGCCCATTAATATTTGCTAATGCTGGTGTGGTGAAAATCACCTGCAGTGAGATTTAGCAATGCCCTTTTTCAATTACTTCAAATAAAAGTTTCTTGTTAAGTTTATTAGGACCCAGAAATATATATATAGGGGTCAGGTGATGAAAAAAAAATTTTTACTATGAGCTGTACGCATTTTTTCAGGGCCGGAATTATGATAATGTCAGTCGATTACTATAATAGGAAATAATATTCTGACTGGCATTATCAAAATTATCTAAAAAAGGAAAGATTCTCATGATTTTTTTAGTTCAACTGGGTCCTAGTTTATTTCTTGAAAATTTCCCATGATTTTATAAACTTTTTATGATAAACTAAATATTTTCAAGGTTATAAGTATGATATTTACCAGGTAAGAGTTGGTTTTCAAGTTATAAAGTTTTACAGATTTCCTTCAATTTTCTTTTTATGCAAAAGTTGACTTAAAAGTTATACTTTCGAACAAAAAATATTACTTTTATTTAATTTATAAAGCTAAACAAATAATAATTTTTTTTCATTTATATTTTAATAAGTTTAAGTTTTATTGAATAAACTACATAAATATTTATGTTTTAACTAATATTATGTATATTTAAATGGTTATAACTATTATAGTCATATCAGATTAAGATAAATTTAAAATATTTAATTGTTCCTTTAGAGTATTAAAAATTATTTATGATAAATTGAATCACAGGAACATAGTTATTAAATTTTAAATTATACTTTTTTTTCTTTTTTTTCATTTGAAATTAATCATGTGATACAGCTAATTTTATTGTATGATGCAACGACTGTATGGCAAGCGGTAGTGGTCAAAAGTGCGTAGCAAAACATAACGTGTATACGCTATGTTTTGTAGCGTGTACACGTTATATTTCATGGCGGGTTACCCCTGTTCTGTTGGGTTAACT